CTCTAATTTCAATATTCTTATTCCATGATATTCATGTAATATTATGTATTTTTAAACCCGGTTTCCAGGGTTTCTTAAACTTATATTTTTTATTACTATGCATGTCACAAAAATTGCAGATGTTTGCTTTTGTTTCACAGGAGATGAGTAAGTTAGAGGAGTGTGTGTACAATGCATCAGCAGAAATTATGTCTATGAAAGAAAATCAAGTGCATTTGGAACAGGAAATAAAAGGAGAAGTGAAATTATTGAATAACATCACTAATGACCTCAGACTGAAAGATTGGGAACATTCTCAGACACTGAAAAATATCACTTTAATTCAAGGTAAATATCTTTTTATTCCTCTGGAAAATGATGTATTAAAATGTACTGATATAAACAGAGATTTAATATTCAAAATCCTATGGTTTAAAATAGTTTTTGAGTATACTTTTACTACAAATATCTAGAGGAAGGAATCTTGGGATCATATCAAGACATGGTAAGATAGCAGTATCCTATTATCTTTTAAATAGGAAGGGATAAAAATAGTGAAACCTCTCTTAAAGTCTAATATTGTTCCAAATATTCCATATTACTGAAGACCAGTACAAGATTCCTGTAGGACACAAAATTGTCTACCTGTCCTTAAACCAAGCTTGTTAATTCTCTTTTTCAAAACTTCCAGATTCTTTCTTACTTCTTACTGTATTGCATTATTAATTTAAAAAGTCTTTGAACTCTCCAAAATAACAATGAATTTGCCAACTTCTTTTCAGTTGCTTGTACAACAAGGTGAATTGAATCTTACTGATTTGTAAATTAATGTATACATCATATATTTTCACACTAGCTTTATTTATATTTTAAATACTTTCTATATTTACTTTCAGCCTTTGGGTATCCTTTATTTTAGGTTTGTCTCTTATAAAGAACACTTTGGTGATGATGATGATGATGATGATGATGATGANTATATATATATATATATATCCCAAAATGTTAACCTTTAGCTCAAGATGAAGAGATTAATGGTAAATTATTTTTCCTTATTATCCACGTGTTCTGGATTTTCTGCTATGAATATATATTTTATAATAGGCAAAGAGGGATCTTATAAAAACATTATTTTTAAGGTAAAAAAATTATTTGCCCAATTTTTTGCTCCACTAACTATAAATTAGGCCTGTGTAAACTGAAAATGACAGTTCTCTGCCAGCTTAGTAATAGGATGAAGAAGATGAACCAAAAATGTATTCATACAGTGGATAACACAAATACTTCTACTTTTACTACATATTTTTTGTCATCATCATCATTTATCTTGATACCAACTAACATATTCAACAGGCTAACTTCAGACACTGTGTTAAACATTATCTCTTTTTATCCAAACAGCAGACCAGAGGAATAGGATACACAACGCACTTTATAATCTGTAGAATTTCTCTTACTGGGCAAGCCAAATACAATAGCCCAGAAGATTTATATCAGCAGCAAATCAGAAAGAATGACTTAATTCTGGAACAAATTCTAATGTAAAATGGGAAGAGGCGATGTGACCCTTTCAGCAATATGCCTACTATGGTTCACATATTGTATATTTGAAATAAATACCTGATATAGAATAGCACTCAAAACGTTAAAATGGAATGGAATGATACAGAACGGAATGGTATATGTGTTTAAGGTGACAGGCTATGACTCTGCTTGTTTTTACTTAAATATGCAGCTGAACTCCTAAAGTGGGAAACGAAGAATTGCGCAGTTGGTTCAATTTATGCCAATAACTTATCTCAAAGTCTCATCGAAAAAGAAAATGGCAACGAAGATGAAATAAAATTTCAAGCTGTTACAGAAAACCTGAGGAAGATGGAGGAGAGACTCCAGTATATTTCAGACACACAAGCCAACCTCATAGATTCAGAGAATTTCCAGAATTTCAGTGAAATGACTGACCAGAGATTTAATGATGTTCTTCTCCAGCTGAGTACCTTGGTTTCATCAGTCCAGGAACACAGAAATGCAATAGATGAAATCTTCAAGTCGTTAATAACTCTGAATACCACATTGCTTCCTTTGCAGCTCAGTATCGAAACACTGAATGACAAAGTTCGAGACAATGCATTGAAACAACGAGAGGTAAGAGTTTTTGTAATGGATCACAGGCTGGCATTGAATTCATTTAAATCCTATCTCCTCAGACCACCAGGGGAAA